ACTGCTGTATGGAAAGTGAATTTGCTCTGTAAATCTTCACCCAAATCACAAAGAAAAAAAAGAACAATGAAGGATACACGAATCATCTTGCAATGTGGATGAACCTCGAGGACATTATGCTGAGTGAAATAAGTCAATCGCAGAAGGACAAGTACTGTATGAGCCCATTACTGTAAAAAGACAGAGAAGGGTTTGCTTGGGAAAGGGAAGTCCCCTAGTAGGTTGCCAGGATGGGGAGGGAAGGGGAGGGATTAATTTAGGGTAGTTGGGGCTTACATGCTGACATGGAAAGGGGGAGGGATATATGGGAAGGATATATGACCACCATAACAACATTGGGACATAAAAGATAGATGATAAATGATAATACCAATCAATGTGTCCACAATACCACATTGCCATTAACACCAAATACTAGGCTATACAGATAAATACATAAGCACCTGAGATGATCAGATGGGGGTCAGTGAACAGAGGTATACTCTAGACCAAGGATAGATTCAGCTGAGGCTAATCTTGCACAGACACTAGTGATACAAAATATTTGCAGCCCTTACAGAAACAATAGAAGACTGACACAGAGTAATCCCTCACAGACATCCAGACACTATGGAAGAGAGATCAAATAGAGCTACTACTTCAGGACCATAGTACTGGGGACACCAGACTCAATTGGTACAACAAAATGCATAAAAGCATTGCTCCACATCCTACATTGGTGAGTAGTGACTGGGGTCTTAAAAGCTTTCAAGAAGCCATCTAAGATGCAGCTAATGGTCTCCTAGCATCAGAAGTGAAGAAGAATGAAAAAAAAAAAAAAGTGCATTTAGAAGCAATCATTCCTAGGCCATGATGGCCCTCAAGACCAGAGGAACTAGATGGTGCCCGGCTACCAATGCCAACCACTCAGGAAAGGATCGATTCTGGCGATCTTAGATAGAGTGGGAGGGAAAACATGGCACATAATCCAAAAACTTAATAATGACCACAATTACTGGTCAGATGAGATCTGGTGAGACTCCCAATACTATGGCCCTGGAATACATTCTGCACCAAGGAATAAAACGCACCCTCAGGAGCGGGCTCTCAGCTCAATGGTTAACAAGATGTACATGCAGAGCACTCAACCCAGAATGCCGCACCCCCATACTCTATGATAATACATCTCTTACAGCAATAGACCATGGGATACCAGAGGACCAACATTCAAACCGAGGAAATGCAGGACAAACAGGAGTGCATAATTATGAGGGGCACAGGGGGAGGGTTGCAGGGTAGCGAGGGGAGGAGACTGGTTTAGGGTTGGACACAGCCAATGGGGAATGAAACTAAATGTACGCATTATGTTGAATGTAAAACAAGCTCTTAAAATAAAAATAAAAAAAGAATTTTTTTGTATGATTCTGGAAAATATGTTTCCAGGACCAATGTGAACTTCAGGGGGAGAATTGTTTTTGTTCTAATTGCTTTTCTTTTTTAAAGAGGTATTTATTGTTTTCATTTTTTTCCTTAATGATTTTTGCACTCATATTTCTAGACATCAAAATCTAGATGACTGAAATGTACTATATATTTTAAGTCTCCCAATATCTGTAGAGGAAAACTATACTTTTCTAAGAATTCAATTTATTAACTCATTTGTTTTTCATTTTGCATCCTGCAAAGTCTTCTAACTGCTTCTCAGTGAAAATAAAATGTTTTATGATAAATTTCCATCATGTACCTTTATAGTTTATAGCATCCTATTTTACTATTTTTCACTTATTTCCTTTGAAGAAACTCTCATTATTCTCATCATTTATAACATAGTATAGTTCCTAAAGTCAAAATATTATATACCATCTTTACAATTAGAATTGAGTTTTTTACTAATGTTCACCCCAAATATTTTTCTTTCATTTGTTCATGATACACCAATTTCATTAATATTTCCAAGGCTTTGTTACCCTGTTTTCATTGTATGTTTCTGAATATTGACTATGTGTTTTTCATTTGTACTTTCATTTTGCCTTATTTTAGTTTTTTACTTTTAAAAGGACTAAGTCATCTATAGAAATACATTTTTGATTTTCCACTTTAACAGAGTATTGATAATAATACTGGTATGGATTTTAGAAATCATCAGAGCAGAGGAGAAGTTAAAAAAAAAAAGGCATTAATTTTTAAAATTATTGTGGAGGTAATTATATATATAATTATTATTTTAATAGATTCAGCTATAAGAAAAGGACAAAAGGTTACTAAGAAGAAAATGAAAATAGTCTAATCCTACCATCTACAGATAACTAGTGTTAGCTTTTTTTTTTTTTTTCTGTTAACACAGATACATACAAACACACTAAAGGCCAAATGTGGTAATAATTTGCTATTTGTTAACTTGCTTTTTCATTTAGATTGGGTCATGGACAACTTTCCATATAAATACACTGTCAATTATATCAGTTCCTTTTTATTTTGTATGCCATAATTTATTTAACTAGATTTTATTGATAGATATTTTGTTTCTAATTGTCACTTTATAAAAGCCATTATGATGGCCATACTTAGCTACATGGCTCCTCGTGTAATTGCCTTAAAACAGCAACAATATTTTAAATATTAGGGACATGAGACATCCTTCTCTTATAATCCTTCAGTTAACACTCTAAGTAAGGATGCAGAACTGCAATGTCTACTACAGGTGAAAATAGTATGCACTCTAGAACTTGCAGCATCATGTTTATTTGTATAACATGAACTGTGAAGAAAGAGTGGGAATAAAATTTAAAAGAGCTAGATTAAGTAAGATTATATCAATAAATTGCATTTATCAATATAAATTCAATATAAATGTACTCAGCCAGGATTTAGAATTTAATGTGATGACTCAAGGACTTTAGGAATGGCATTAATAATCTGCTAGGTTGGTTAATTGAAGCCTGGATTAGATAGTGGTTTTAGAAACAGAGGTTAAGATGCTTGAACTTCCATGATATTTGATAAATAAAGGAGTTTAAAGCCTTTTGGAGATGGGAATGTTGGAATTGATTTGGTACAACATATCCATACATCCTTTTACGTTACCATGTAGGAGGACCCAGAGGACCCTCGTATCACCAAGGCTTTAAGGACCGGAATTTTTAAAAGGCTTGATATTTTTCCTCCACAGGATGAGGATTTGCAGATATATTGCAATATGTATCTATATTACAGATAGAGACACTTTAGTGGGTATTCAGTTGCCTGATTTATAGCCACTCCTTGGAAGGAAGACTGGGAAATCTACTTCCATAGAGACGTTGTTGTTGTTGTTGTTGTTATGTGCTGTTGAGTCAGACCCGACTCATAGCGACCTCTCCTTGGGTTTCTGAGGCAGTATCACTACGGAAGTAGATTGCCCCATCTTCCTTCCGAGGAGTGGCTGGTGGGTTTGAGATAACACCTCGGAAACCCAAGGAGGGGTTGCTATGTGTCAAATTTGAGTTGACAGCAGTGAATTTTTTTGGAATAGTAGAGGCCAGGTTGTAGCAAATAGTGATCAAATGTATGGTGGGAAAATTAGTAGAATAAGATTCAGGGAAGAGGTCCACCTCTAGAGAACACATTACCTAGGCTCCCTTGCTCTCTGGCTTCTGGTTAGAGTTGGCCAATTAGTGGCATTAGCAGGTCTTTGGAAGGTGAGAGAAGAAGGAGGTAGAGGTATTTACTCTTTCTTTCCTTCTATGCCTTGCTTAGATTTTGCAATAGCTGTATTCTCTACCTATGTTCTTAGCACTTGCCAGGTGGCCTTATTTCCATGGCCATTTCTGTCAGTGGCTTTTAGTAAAGATTCTCTTACTTTTCCCCTTTAAGCCTGGGGTTGGTCATAGCTTTCCACTGTTGTTCGTCTCTATGTGCTTCATCATCATTCATTCCCTTAATCCACATGATTAAGAATTAGTCCCTTCAGCCAACCTTCTTCAAATTATTCCTTTTAGTATGCTCTTTGTTTCCTGCCAAGGACCTGACTGATATAGATGATCAGGAAAAGACTCCCTTCAAAACCAAGATTTGAGTTGAGATCTAGATATATGAGTTGCAGGTTGGGGAAAGGAAATAGAAATGCAAAGACTCTGTGATAGGGAGGGCAGATTGTGTCCAGGAAACTGCAGGCAGGCAAATGTGACTGCACCTTCAAGAGCAAGGGATTTTAAGAGGCTAGAGTGGCAAAAGAGGTAACATTTAGTGGCCTGGCAGAGAGAGATGATCCTGAAAAGAAGACAAAGAAAGAGCCAATGTAGGTATTATCATTAAAAACCAAAAGAGGAGAATTTTTTTTTTTTTTTTTTAATAAGGATTTGGGTGAAGATTTACAGAGTAAATTCACTTTTCATACAGCAGTTCACATATACTTTGTCTCATGTCATTGACCAAAATTTACAATGCAGCAGC